CGTCCAGCGACCGCGTCCAGCGACCGCGTCCAGCGACCGCGTCCAGCGACCGCCTCCAGCGACCGCCTCCAGCGACCGCGTCCAGCGACGCGCCCAGCGACCGCGTCCAGCGACCGCGTCCAGCGACCGCGCCCAGCGACCGCGTCCAGCGACCGCGGCCAGCGACCATCAAGGGCATAAAAAAAACGCATCAAGGGCATAAAAACATCACTAAATAAAATTAAATTTCGTGGTACTTTGTAGAGGTTGTCCCATTTTTGTGTGGTTTACAGGGTTCATAAAAAGAATTAAATCGCGTCTTGCGTCTGGCGTCTCGTGTCTAGCGACCGCATCCTGCGTCTAGCGATCTTAGTCTCGCGTTTTCCAGAGACCGCGTACAGCGGCCGCGTCTAGAGACTGCGTCCAGCGACCGCATTCAGCGACCGCGTCCAGCGACCGCTCCCAGCGACCGCTCCCAGCGACCGCTCCCAGCGACCGCTCCCAGCGACCGCTCCCAGCGACCGCTCCCAGCGACCGCTCCCAGCGACCGCTCCCAGCGACCGCTCCCAGCGACCGCGTCCAGCGACCATCAAGGGCATAAAATAAACGCATCAAGGGCATAATAACACATTATATAAAAACATCACTAAATAAAATTAAATTTCGTGATACTTTGTAGAGGTTGTCCCATTTTTGTGTGGTTTACAGGGTTTCTAGTTTGCTCATAAACTGTTGCTCATAAAGCGGTACAAAGATACGGTTTTCACAGTTGCTACTTGTTTATGAAACTAAAGATGGTAAACACATATTTGACGCCACTGTTAAAAATTTCAGTTAAGTTTCTAAAAACTTAAATATTTTTATTTTTAAATAAAGATTTAAATATTTTAAAAGATCTTTTGTAAAATGACTTAAGTCGTTAAAAAAAGATTTAAATCTTTTTTAATTTTAAATGTGTTTTTTAGACATTGTGAATGATCGTAAACTAAAAAGTATAAAATGTAATTGAAACCACTAATTTATTCCACTGATTGGGAGGTTCTGAATGAAGCTTAACGCTGTACAAAAATAACTATTTTCATATTTCTCCTTTACTCTATGAATTCATAATTCATGATAAATATATACATTATTTTTCTTTCTTTTAATTATTCTTTGGCTATATCTAACGAGACAACATGCACTTCATATCTTCCCTATTTTGACTGGTTTCCGGCTATTCAATATTTCAGTTTTAATGACGAGTCTTTTTATTATTCTGTGTTTGTGGTTTCCTTTCCTATTTATATAGTCAATATTGATTATAAACTTGAAAACATTTTCGAATTTTCGAAACTTCGCCAACGAAAATAGACCCTTTTCTTCGCATTGATTCTCGGAACCGAACAAGTCGTTTCAAAGTCTTAGTTAATTAAGATTCTCCCGATTCTATGTTCCCTGTCATTTCTTTGTGTAACCATTCTTTATGCGGCGTATTGTTTCGGTACAAAGCTTTATATTCTGTGTACATAAAAGCTTATGCATTATTAATCAATTTTGTACCTATTAAAATTTGCTTTGTTGAATCTGCTCAGGATTCATAAAGTGTAACGCTTATATAGCCAATGTTGCTGAAAATTATAAAAATACCTTCTTTAATATTACTCGATTAGTACTCGATTATTGAAATTAATCGGTTTTTCCCATCACTATTTACAAGCCAACTAGAAGCCGTTTTTTTCGATCATACGGTATAAAACATTATATCTTTTTTGTGTAAAAAGCTAAGGATTATCGGATGATATAGGCTCTATTGAAGCACATACGGAGTGTTTCTCAAAATTGACTTACCTCTATAACTCTAATTATTTTTTCAGATAAAAAACGAGACTTGGTATGTTAGTACATGACATGATTGACGTATTCGATTGTTTTGGTCACTTCCTATTTCACCGGAAATTACTCCAACTTTTGATTTTTAAACGGGATCCTCGAGTTTTTTATATTTTTTTATGTCAACTTTGACATAAAAAAATAACAACTTTTGACATTTTCTTTTAAAAAATCATACTTTTCAAATTTCAATCTAGAGTGTCATGGCTGTGTTAAAACACTAATTTTTAATCAATGAGTCTTGGAAAAATTGATTTCGTCTAATACTTTTTCGTCTCTTTGTCCTGGTTGGTTAAAAGATGCCCAAATCGTATTGGCTCATTAGCATATTTCAAAAGCATTTTTTTTTACAAATAATTTAGTACCACACACTTGGTATTTCGAGTCGAATTATCGTTATGAACCGCATGTTATAATTTCAAATAAACCATATGCGAAAATGTCAAAAGTTGACATATCATATGTCATTCTATTCAGAGTGTCATTTTCTATAGAATAAAGTAAAAAAATACCAAGGGTGTCATTAAAAAGTCAAAAGTTGTAGCTATTTCTGGTGAAACAGAAAGTGACCAAATACAATTGAATACGTCCAAATATTCCTGATTTATGTCATATACAACCTAACCTAACCTAACGAAATCTAGTTTTTTATACGAAAAAATAAAATAATTATAGGGGTGAGCCTAAGTGAGAAACACCCGGTATAGATGTATAAACATACATTTGACTAACATTGATATTTTATTGATATGTATCCATGTATTATAAAAATTTCAAGGTTCTGTGTCAAAAATATTGCTTCTCAAGTTCCTTCCTCAATCAAGTGACAAGAACATTCGATAAACACTCACACCATCTTTAATAATACAGTGAAAAAAACAACCCTTATCCGAAATATCTGTATAGTGGCAAAAAACTCTCACCGATATATAACTTTTTTTTCGACAAAGAACAAAAAGGTTTTCGTAAATAAAATGTACTACTCAAGCATAAAGACCGTTCTGAATTGGAATTGCTTCCGAACCTATCAAAATTGAATAAAAACTCTGGACAATTTTTACCGGCTCAAATCCAACCTATTTAACCAGCGAACCGGAATGATACAAAATATACAAGATGAAGAATTTTTTTGTTGATTTATGTTTGAACTCATATCGGCATTTCTGGCTATCATTAACGATTAATAAAATGCCAATGGATGAAAAATAAAAAGTATACGTTCAATATTCAATAATGTCAATGCATAAAACAGAATGATAAATATAGAGCGATTTCAATAAAGCCTGTAAAGAGCTCTCTTTTGATAAAACACAGTATATTGGAATATTTTCGAATTGTATTTTTGCGATAATTTTGATATGGTATAAAATAAATTTAATATTAAAATGCTAATTAAACATGTTGATTTAATCATGTTATTTATCGATGCTGTTGCTAATTTTGTGTTTTTGATTTGTGTTGTTTAATTTAGAATAAAGGTAAATTTCATATCATGTGGATAGTTGCATGCACAACGTTTAAAATGTTATGTTAAGATAAGAGCAAAATGGAAAATTATAATATTTAAATATATAATATTTATAATAAGCACTTTTTGTAACATATATTATGTTTTAATCTCTTTTTCGGTTGGTGTAGGCTTTCAGCTCTGTATTTAACACAGTTCTGATGTTGATCGCGTTCAGATAATATTAAAATCGTGGTTTTGTCATCATATTTAAGTATTTTAGTTTTTAATAGTGCAGTTATTGAAACTATAAAACACTCAGGTACGATGTTTGTCTGATGTAACGCTGTTTTGAGTAGTAAAAATTAAGTGAAAACTAACCCGAACTGAACGTCACTTTGTGTTGTGAGAATTTCAAATGTTAATAAAATTTTCGAAAAACTGTAAAGTACAAAGTACGAAACACGTAAAGGAGGGCGTAATTACGTGGTTGTTGGGTTCAATAACATTCAAAAACTCAACTTTCCCGGATATTCAACTCTCCACTAAACAATATTTTATAGCTTCACAACTTCTCACACCGATTTGATGAAAAGAAAAAATTGATTCAAGCAGCTCAAAATGCTCATTACATAATCAAAAAATTAAATAGGCATACCTTGCTGGCAAGCAAAACCTTGGGTCGGCGTTTACATGTATCGGAGTGAATCACTATGGCAATCTAGTAATACGGAGAAAGCAAAAATACGAAGGATTTATTACATAACGACTTAATCTGACGCTAGGTTCCATGCGCTTGGGAAAATACTTGCCTTCTGTCTCTATTCAGTACATCTTATTTTAATAAGCGTGTTTACCGTACTCTTTGTACACACGAAAATCGGCACCCAAGACCAGAAATGCCGACCCTAGTATACTATGAGAGGATAAATTATAATTTGCAGTATTAATGGTATACTTGTTTTAACCAACTAAATTAACTACTGTTTGTCAAGGCTAAAACACAAATTTGAATATTAAAGAAGGATATATTGCCGGTTTACTGAAAAAACTCAAAAATTAAATATTTATCAAGGTATCCCCTAATAGTCCTCAGTACATAAAAGTATAAAATATATACATATTGCCAGTAATCCGCTATTATAATTAATTATACTACCTTTGCTATCGAGAAATTATTTAAAGAAAGTATAGCAATTTATAACAGCATAATTTTCGAATTCATGGGACACATTTCTTAAATTTAAAAATCTGATTTAATTTTTTTGTTGATAGCAGAGGTGGGATTCTGTAAGTTCGTAACATGAAATTTCTTGCTAGTGGCAGTTATTCTTATAATATTTTTAGGATGTATAATTTTCCTCAATTTACGAAATTAGCCGACTAATATTTTCATCCCAACTAATCAAAAAATTTCGAGAAATTTATTGATTGGTTATTCGAAAACTATCATGACCCGAACGCGGTGTTCGGCTAGACTCGACAAGACAGATGTTAAAAGGTCTTGTTATAGTGATGGTAAAATATAAAACTATGATATTTTTGGAACCTGTAGTATGATTGTTGTATAATGGACTAAATATTTTCGATAAAAAAGCCGAGTAAGTGTGAGTCACTAGCAAGAAAGTTCCTTGGAATCCCACCGCAGTTTGATAAGCCATCTGATAATATACTAACAAATCAAAAATACGCGATGTACTACCGAGCGTTTGTTAGATGTAAATTTAATCTGTGATAGGTCAATAATATTACCTGCTGTGAATTTTCTTCTTCTCCCGCTTCTGTCATCCCCAAAGTCTTCGCACAAGGAAACAACTGCCTGACGGCCGAATTGGGCTTCAGACTATTGTTGGAGATAAGCACGTGGTTGCCGAGCTTAAACGTCAACATCATCTCCGTCGCATCCGGGGACGTGGTGTTCCCAATGTACGTTTCTTGCTTGGCGTTAACCTGGGTGTCGGGTACGTCATCCTTGTGGGTTTCTTCTTCGGTCGAACTTGCCGGGGCACCATCGCAACTGTCCCTTTTCTCTTTTTCTTCTGTTTCGAAGAAGCGGACTGATCTTCTATTGGCGGTCTCGTCGTCTGAAGTAATTGTTTCTGGAACCTAAGCAAGAGAAATTAAAATTAATTGAAACATCCTGTTTAATAAAAATGTTGGTTAAAAAATGGTTATTCGAAATTTTCAAATTTTTGCGCGAAAAAACTCATAGTCTTGTTTCTGGAGTCGAAATATACTACTCCTAAAAATATTTGCACTTATTTAAGACTCACCGTGTATAAAACACGTCGCCGTTGTATAAAAATATATTTCAATCAACCTGTAAATTTTAAAAAATTGCCCTATATTGTCAGCGTATTTTACAAAATATTTTACTAAAAATATGAAATAAGAAACCTGATATTAGATCTTAGGAGGAGTAATGGTAAATATAAGTTAAATATTTTAACATATGTTTTAGAATTTCTTGAAAAAGACTCTAAAAAAGTCTAATATAAACAAAAAACTACTGAGAAACATGTTTTTATTTATAAAATTATAAAATGTCCGGATAGAAATGAATACATTTGCCAGGTTATCGGCATACATAAAATTCTTTTTTGTATTTTTTTTTAGTTTACAAAATTTTGAATATTAAACACAAATTTGAATATTACAGAAATATGCATTGTCAGATAAACACTAAGAAAACTTAAAAATTAATATTTAGTCAAAAATGTTATCAGGGAGATGATGATTAAAATATATATTTTTAATATTTTAGTATATAAAAGTATAAAATGTATAGGTACATATTGCCAGTAACCAACTGTTATAAAGAAATACACTAACGAGAAATTATGTAGAAACTATGGTAGTTATAATTTCCTAAAGCATGATACACATTTCTTTTATTAGAAAACCAAATATTTAAAAATTAAAATGATTACTAATTAACAAGAAAAGAGAAATCTTACAGTTACTGGCGCCATGTCGTTTCCCCCGTGAGCTAATATCCATGCTTTGCTGACTCTGTTGCTTCCATAACTTTCCTCCTTTTAAAATACCGCTAATCGGAGAACCGCCAGGCTGATAATTTTGGCTGGACTGGTGAGAGTATCTGTCATTCTCGGCATCCCGAAGAATCTGCTGTTGAGTTACCGTCGACATAGTGATCGTCTCTAAAATATAGTTTTGATCGTTAGGGCTATCTGCAAAGAAACAAAAATAAAAATTAGTACGCAATAACATAAATCTTGATTTATACAGAGTTATCCATTAATGCAAGGAAGTCCAATAATATCAAAAAATAAAACAAAAAATATATTATTTATGTTAACTGCCAGTTCTACTAGTTTATTATTTAATAATATATGGTATTAATGCGTGTAATTGAAGAACAATACAGAAATATTCCGAAACCTATTCTGTTCTACATTCATTCAGTAATACATCCCTCAGTTATTGCCATAATAACTGCATTAAAACCAAACATAATAATGCTTGCAATAACGGCAGTTAAACATGCATATTTCATGGAGTTTATAAACCGCACCCATTATTTTCGGATGACTTCTGATAACGTATACATACACACATTCGATAACAGAGTTATGTTCTGCATTAATGCAAAATTAAATATTACATATGCTTCATTATTGTTACCATTAATTATACCTCGCAATATTTAAAATGTACTCGGAAACTCCATTTAGTTTACAATTTTTTATGTAAAAGTATGAAAACAGTATAGCATTAGATTGTTTATGCATATTAAAGTTATATTCTTCATGCTTTAGCATACTTTTATGAAAAAAAAACTCAATTTTGTGTTTTAAAAATGTCTAAGATATAATGTGGAACTGAGTCATTATAATATATAGTTTTTCTCTATTCTCTTTGTTTTTTTTTGTTTCTGAGGCCAGGGGAGATCATTATCATCATCATTAAGCTTATACCGTCCACTGCTGAAGAAAAGACTCCCTCTCCGCCATTTCTTTCTATTTTGTGCCACTTGAATCCAGTTTCCAACACCACACAGTTTAGCGTTAGACGAGTGTGCAATTCATTTAAACGCAAAGGAAATAGGCTGTATGATGTATGTTAAGTTGCGTAGAGTCACGAGACAATACAACACGTAGGAATAATGTGTTCCTGGCTTAAGACATTCCAAAAAATTTGTCAAAGTTTACCATCAAGAATGCTTAAAGATTTTGTAAGAACAATCTTTGGATTATCACGGGGTTTTTAACAGGACACTGTCACCTCAATGAACACCTCAGTAGACTGAAGCTAAGACACAATGGCAAATTCGGATTCTATGGGGTATATCGGGAAACACCAACACACCTCAACACTGAAAGCACCGAGACGACAACCATTCGTGCCATAAAGTCTGGTACGACTGATCGGAGATCGAGCTCTTCTTCTTGAAAGCCTTGAGATTGTATGATACGTTATAGCTCAAGAAAAGGGGACAATAGATTTATAAGGTGGCGATAATAAGTTCCCCCCTTCCATACAACTTACAATCTACTGTCTAAAATTATAAATACCTTTTGTTGACTACCTAAACAACTTTGTTTTCTATCAGAAGCTTGATAAGTGTACAAAGTTTCAATTTAAACATATACGTGCAGAAGAAGCTAATAGTATCATGTAAATTTGTGTGTAAATGCAAACTTCTTCAAACTTATGTTAATCACCCTGTATAATCGACTCTTATAAAGTTTTAATATAGTAATCCATAAATCATACTTCCATTAGAATCGTCTACTAATACATTAATGATTGTATCCAAAGCCACTTAACGCTGCATAACCATTTCCATTACTTGCATTAGCGGGATCATTTGAATGGCTTTGGTGGTTAAAGTACCTGAATTCGCTGGATGGCGTATTTCGAAATACCTGCTTCTGTGATTAATTACTATAAAATCTACCTACTAACAATCAATAAGTTATAAGCTTTTAAAGTCTTTTCAATTTTCAAGAATTATATTTAAATGTTCTGCATAAAAAAACTTTCGTTACACAGACCGTTATTTCGTTTGTCATGAAGTAAATTTGATATTTGGATATCATAATTTCCGCGGACTTGGCCACCGATAGGCTTAGTCCGCCAAAGGTTTTGCCTGCCAAATACTTAGTTTTGCCCACAAACGCAAAGCTTTCATGCTAATAGCTAATCATTGTCCGAACGACAGTAGCTTTCAATTATTTTAATAAATTGCTTGTCATTCAAAAACAGGTTTAAATATTTGTTTTGTGTAGCTTAAAGCCGACTTTAATTTGGCTTAATTAGCCAACACCCGACGCCACGCCACGCTATCCCAAGTGTTGCGACGTGGGAATGGGTGTCACATTTTGTAATACGTGTTAACACGCCTGAAATTTTTATTAGAGTTAAAAAGTTATCAGTAAAATTACGAAAATACTAGAAGAAACCAAACCCATACCGATATTAGATTATAATCATAATACCAGTCCACCAATATATTCAGAATCGAATATCGATATTTAATAAGATGAATCTTTTGTTGACGATATTTTTTGGATCTATCTTGTTATAACCGATGTTTGAATCGATTCAAAATATCAATTTTTCATTTTGGGACATCCCTACATCAACTACAAAAGATGATAGCCGGGGGACTAGAGAGGCAAGCGGGGAAGAACACGCTGTAACATACGTCGCCGTCGTGAGATCTGGGACAGACGAATCGCCCATCACACGTGTGCTACCGTGTTATAGCGTCGGATGGCGTGTCGTGTTGACTAGTGTGTACGCAATACAAGTAATTAAACGGAAAAATATACGCACAAATCTTCATGAGGCGGGGTAGCATGGCGTCGCGTTGTCGTGGCGTGTTGGCCAATGGGGTCCCGGCATAGATCGAATTGCATTTTAATGACATGTTAGAATAGAATTTCAATCAACAGAGAATTACTCAAATAATATGGTAAATAAACCTTATACTAATTAATCAGTTTCTTCCTTTTATTTCTCTAGTCAAAAACTTGCTTTGTCTTTGTTTTAATTTCCTTAAAGTGGCTTAAGGAATTGCATAACTTAACGGAGATATCGATTAAAGAGATGCCTAGATTAACTTTGGGTGGAGGCTTTTAAGGTTATTGGTTTGTTCAATTAAGTTTAAGACCGAGAAATGCAAATTAGGTAGAAGGATAGTATATAGCAGATTGGTAGGTGTTATAGCGAAAATAAAATTAGCATTTTTTATATAAAGCAACCTCCTCTTAAAAAGAACGTATTAAAGTCCAAATGTATTCGATCGTGAAAACAACGTTTTAGGGATTATTTCTTGTTTAGCCAAACTAAAAAATAAATTTGTTCATTGTGGTGTTTTCTTTTTTAACAAGTTTTTATTAACGCATGCTTGCGTTCTTCTTACTTACTGCTAAACTACTTGGTACTGCTTGTACAGTAATATTAATCATTCCAAAACGCAAACTCTTTAAAACCTATCAATTATTTTAACAAATTGTCTGTCATTAATAAAATGTAATTAAACGCCCATTCAGTTCACTATATCGATACCATTTTTGAACGAAAATATATTTTTTTGCTATCCGTTATAAATTAAGCTTTCGGGAAAGAAAAAATTCTGTAAAAAATCGTTTAAATACACCACAAACCATTATTCACCATAGTTGTTTTAGGTGAACATTTTTCTCTATTTAGTTACACTTTTTTAGATGAGTACAAAATTATAACTGGCTAGGACAAAATTTATTGTAAAACAAACAAAAGCCTTATATCTTTTCATGTATCAAAAATATGATTAATTTAAGTTAAATATTTTCAAAATTTAATTAATAATGTTGTTTAAATAAAAATATTAATTTAAACTAAAAACAATATGTACCTTTCTGACGGGTTCATTTTTTTAAAAAAATGTTCTAGCCATTGAAAAAAAATCTACAAAATAAAAAAGTAATTTTTAACACCACTGCGTTGATCAATAGAAATCAATTTGTTAGTGGTATTTTACTAATAAAACAAATTTCCCTAACTATTAAAAAAAAACGTTTCAAAAGGTATAATAATAACGTTTAAAATAGACGTATCTGTTAAAAAACTAAAATGTTCTTGAATAAGCAGCAGTATTTAGATATTTGAAATAGTTTCCTTTGTTTTTTTTTTGTTTTTTGCCTCTGACGATCTGGAGGAGATATACTTCCTAAAACTGACAGGAGACTAACGGATTTTGCAAGTTGTCTGCTTTACTGTTTTATTGTCTATTTTACTGTTTTACTATTTGTTTTACTGTTTTTATGCTCTTAGCTTTTATACCTCTACAGGGTCCGACAATAGTGCGCCGCCGGGCAAGAAGCTCCTAGAATAAAAAACTTTGGAAATTTTTTCAATAGATGGAAAATTAAAATATATACTTTTCTGTATTTAGAGTATTATTTTTATTATTTTATTATGGCATTTTCCACAATATTTTTATCAAAGCCACCAAGGATTTTTCTCTCGTATTTTACCGTTGAAAGAATCATATGAAATAACACTGCGTGTATCTGCAAAATCATTAAAAATTTAATTAAGGAATTTTGAACACTCCGTATTATTTAAGATTACGACATTTATGCAAAGTAAGTACAAACTATCAAAAGTAAATACCCAATATTCATTATTAATATTCATTTCAGGACAGTTTTTGTATTTTTAATAATTTTTGAAGAAAGTCTAAAAAATATATTTTTATTTATTTATTAATACCTCTGAAACTATCGAAATATATTTACTCATATCTTAGGAGGGTGTTCTATTTAAAAAAAAATCATCCCGATCAATTACACTTTTTGAGCCACTCTATAAAAGCTAAAATATTTTCCTGAAATACATCCTCGTACATTAATTCCCAGCTTTTTATTCTACGCACTAGAGCCAGACTCTGTATAAATAGAGAGACAAACAGTAGAACAGATACCAAAAACCGCAAATAAGACAGTAAAAACAGTAAACCAGACAGCAAAATCAGTAAACGTCTGCTGCTTGTCCAAAGAGTCCTAATACCTACAGTTAGGCAAATTTCAGCTCAGTTTTGAAGAAATTAATTAGACTGTTAGGTAATTTTAAATCTTTTTATTATATTTTTATATTATTTTTAAATATTAGTTTCGAATACCCATATTGTTTGGTACAATAAAGATTCTTTGTCATGGCGTACAAACCAACAAAAAGT